TATATTCCTATCTATCTATCTATCTTCTTCATTCTATCTATCTATCTATTCATATCTCTATCTATCTATCTATCTTCATATCTATCTATATTCATATCTAATTCTGTTCATATCTATCTATCTATCTATCTATCTATCTTCTATCTTCATCTATCTATATTCATATCTAATTCTGTTCATATCTATCTATCTATCTATCTATCTATCTTCATATCTATCTATATTCATATCTAATTCTGTTCATATCTATCTATCTATCTATCTATCTATCTATCTATCTTCATATCTATCTATATTCATATCTAATTCTGTTCATATCTATCTATCTATCTATCTATCTTCATATCTATCTATATTCATATCTAATTCTATATTCATATCTCTATCTATCTTCTTCATATCTATCTATATTCTATCTATCTATCTATCTATCTATCTTCATATCTATCTATATTCATATCTAATTCTGTTCTATCTATCTATCTATCTATCTATCTATCTATCTATCTTCTATATCTAATTCTGTTCATCTATCTCTATTCATATCTAATTCTGTTCATATCTCTCTATCTATCTAATATTCCACTCAAGAGAACTTTGATGGTATATTCAGGATTTTGTTTTCCTATATTTATCACAACGTTTCGGCCGTTGTACGCTCCGGCCTTCTTCGGGTGGCTGGAATGTCGAACTGAACCCTTTATTTCCTCAAGGACAGATGGCACAGTGGATAAAGGCGTTAGTTAGATACAGTGACAGGACCCAAAGTGTGAGTTCAATACCTGCTTAAGGCAGTGGAGAACTTGGAGAGGGGAATTAACAGGAGATAACTGATAACTGACATCCATTAGACATGGCACGTGGAACTAGAACAGTCTACCCCAGCGAGCGAAATAAAGGGTTCAGTTCGACATTCCAACCACCTGAAGGAGGCCGGAGCGTACAGCGGCCGAAACGTTGTAATAAATATGGTGACAAAGATGAGGACGATAGTCCGAACAATGTAAATAGAGTATATAATACCTCATCTCAGAAATATAGACAGATGGTGAGATTTATGAGTATGTCTCCAGGTAAAATGCTTTATTTTATGATGCATCGAATGGCGATGTCAGCTTTCATTATTTCATTGCAGTAATTTCCCAAACTACCTCTTTGATAGTCAAATAAAATTATTTCTATAAAACTTAAATAACGTTATCATTAAAAAAACAAAAAAAAACAAAAAAAAAACACACAATACAATATCAAAATATTTTTACTTCACTAAAGGTTAGCAGGATCAACAAATACCTGAAAAGGTCGGAGAGCCGAACAGTGGAAACGTTGTGATAATAAAAATATTAGCTCGAATGTAAATAAAAATATCTTTTATATGAGTGATATAGTCTATCATTATAAAATATCGTTACCGCATTCCACTCATGGGCCTGAAATAAACTGGACGCTCGAAAGGCCATGTCGTAACATGAATAGTTTTTTCTTCATCGGCGAGTCTGGACCTGTACGTATAGACAATCGTAGATGGAATTATGACATGTACTTAAGCCACATGACTAGTGGCCTATACTCTTTTCCAGTTACTATCATATGTAGTTCTTTAGTTGCTATTGTTAAGGAGAAGCAATTAGGTGTAAAAGTGTATTTGGTAAGGCCGAGAGTTGATGGATTTGTTGGATCAGTTGACTTAGGTCACGGTAGTGATGACATGGTAGGCTTGGAGTGTAATAGTGAAGCTGTCAAGTTGTTAGAAATCACTGTGGTGACATCGAGAGTGTCAACAGCTGACTTGTTTGACCCCCAATCTCCCCACATTCTGTGTGTGAAGAGTCAGGTGAAGTCAGGAATCATCCAATTTCGTTAAGATACATCATTGAAGATTATTTCAATACCGACCTAGAAGTTTATAACTGTTTAATAAACTGGTTATACGTACAAGACACAAGAGAGAATTAAACTGGTTATAATTATCTGTGAAATTAGCTGGTTAATTATTATTACATTGAGATATTTTGAATACAAAGCATTTAGTAAGAATTGAACTTGTTATTCTATGAGTTCGTTTTTTAAATGAGTTTGTTAATATTACTCTATGGTAGGCGTCCGTTGTCTGAGAAGCTTACATATGTGTTTGCAGACATAAATATTAGTGTCATTTGTTGGAGTGAAAGACAAGAATAAAAGTTATCTAAAAAATAATGTTTCCACTGTTTTTCTCTTCTTTCAGTTCTAAGATTTCAGCTGATAATGCCTGTATCCAGTGTCAGAACAAACAACAATTTTTTTTAATTCCCACTCTTTATTTGCAGTGTGTGTTGGTCCAGGTGTGAAATATCCAGTCCCCAACTGACCTGCATTGAGAAAGTGTGGGGTACGACCTTGTAATTTTATCCCCATAGTCATCTCTGATAAAACTGCATAAAGTTCAATAAGTGTAATTCAGGGCAGAGACAAAAAGAAGACAATAGACTGATGAGATGTAAAAATTACATAATCTTAATAATGATTTAGTTATTTTTTGGCTAGAGAACAAGATAAAATAACGCTTGCCATCTGATAACACTTAAATACAAAGAGAAAGAAAGTGGGACAATTGTACCGACCCCCTGAGAAGATGAAAACCTGTTGCAAATAATAGTTAGAAATGTAAATAAATAACTAATAAAGCATAGAAAATTTACACGGTTTCTTTACAAGGTGTTACCTATTTACCTTTTGTTCGGCTTGATGACAACACAAGAAAGTTTGAAATTTACGAAATCATTTTCCCTATCAAAGTTGGTAAACACTCCCAGCATGAATTAATACTTTAAACTGAGAAAAATGATATATACTAGTTTTAACTTGTGTGAAGTTTCAAGGTTTTCCTATTTTCAATTTCTGATGAATCTTAATTCTTCAGATGAAAGATTGGCGAGCTCTACGACGATAAAATATATGTAGAAAGTCTCCTATTGCATCGTTAAATATTTGAGCTTAACAACTTTAACAAAATGTTGTAATAACAATCATAAATATGAATGTTGGTCGTTATTTTAAGAAGTAAGGGGAACAAATGAAAAGATTTGAAATTGACAACTTTTTCCACTTCACTGAAACAGACGTTAAACAATTCTATTTTTCTTTCCTTTTTTTTTTCTCACTAAAACTAAGTAGTGTATCTGATATGTCTTTTGTCTTCCCACCCAATTAAAACAGAATAGTCCATTATTTATAAGATATTGGCAGGACGTAACGGTTGTGCGAATTAACGAAGAGAAGACAAGCACAATTATTATATAATAATTATTCTGTCCTCGCAAAAAACACTTGAACTTATTCCTGGGCATTATCAATTCATTCCTGATTTTGAACACGTTTCTATATTAAAAAAACCATCCGCAATTCAATTTCATTATACATCTAATAGCCTTGCATGTTTGCATTACTTCCTGGCTATTGATAATCTCTTTCTTGCTGATTTTCGGTATATTTCTATAGTAAAAATATATTATACTTAATTTATGTCAATAATGATTGCATTGCTTGCTGACCACTGATTCTCCTTTTTCCTTCCTGATTTTCAATGCATCACTGTATTAAGGTGATGAGGAGAAACGCTTTCTCCACCTTTTGTGTTGTAAAAGACACATACACGAGCGCACATACACACACGTGCATACACGCACGTACACACACACGCACACACATACACACACAAAACAAAAAACAACAACATAAAACAAACCAAAAAACAAAGAGGAAAATTCTTAAAACATTTCGTCTAGCAAAATTTAGTCAGAAAAAAAAAAGAAAAAAGATGACAATCAATTGCCAAGGACCAATCGGAGACTATTGTTGAGGAAAAGGAAAAAAAAAAAAAAAAAAAATACACAGAGAAAGCTTGCATTATTTACATTATTCGGACTGTTATCCTCATCTTCATTGTCATATTCTTCAGGTGATTGGAATTTCGAAAGAAACCCTTTATTTCGTCCACCGGAGTAGATCGTTCTAGTTCCACGTACCATGGCTCTTCCGGATGTCTCAGTTATTTCCTTTTAACTCAACTCTCCAATTTTTTGGTTCACCACTGCTGTGGCCTGGTATTGAACTCACAACTCTTTGGGTCTAGTCAGTGGATCTTTACCCATTAAGTCTATAAGTCCCAAGAATTCATGCACAGATGTTCTCAAGGACACTTGGTTCGGTGGATAAAGACATTGGTTAGATCCAGTGACTGGATTCAAAGAGTTGGGAGTTCAATAACCAAAATAAGTGAACCAGAAACTTGAAGAGTTGAGTTAAAGGGAAATAACTGAGACATCCGGAAGAGGCATGGCACATGGAACTAGAACAATATACTCCGGTGGACGAAATAAAGGGTTCGTTTCGAAATTCCAATGACCTGAAGAAGGCCGGAGCGTACAACGGCCGAAACGTTGTGAATATGGAAATAAGGATAACATTCCGAATAATGTAAATAATGCAAGTGATCATAATACCTCATCTCAAAGATATAGGCAGAAATAGAGAAAGAAAGAAAATTTATGTGAATTTCTGGGATGAAGAGTTATTGTTTGTATGAGAATTATTGTCTTCATCTTTGTTGTTATTATCATAACGATTTGACTGTTACTACTTTTCCCGGGTGTTTGTCGATTCGAGTAACCTTCAGGAAATTTCGAATTGAACCCTCTTCTTCCACTGACGATATCGAGAGAAATCTCGTCTAGTTCCTATTTACAATTCATTTATTGCTCGCTCGTTTTCACTGTGTCCACGAACACACTGCCAGAGATTGAACTCACAATTGTTACGTCACCAAATTCACGAACCAACTCTCGGCTGTTATCCTTGAAGGCTACCCGGGTCGACAAATATTTGATGAAGGTGGGATCAACGGCTGAAACGTTGTAATAATAAAAACAAAAGATGAGGACAGCTGTCCGCGTGTATATAATGTAAACAAATAACTCTGGCCTAAAAAATATATATGTATATATATATATATTTCTTACTTCTAGCAGTGTGTCTGCTGCCTCTTCATCTGTTACGTCTCCGCAAAATGGTCCAAGGCAGCTCCCTTTGGCCAGGGGAATCGTACAGCAGACCTGCAACTCATCACCGGCACTCTTCACTAGACGCAGAATTTCGCATTTCGTTGACGTCACAGACGCAGCTGGCGGCATCGTGGCCACCGGATGTGGCGGCGGCGGCGGTGGTGGCGGCGGCGGCGCCGGTGGCGTTGTCAGGACGTCATTCTCCGTTTTCGGAGACACTTCGAGGCAAGAGTTTCGCGACGATGTCCTTTCGCTCTTGATGTGAACATTTTCGTAGTCGTTGAAGGTGCCGGAGTCATTTAGCGTCCCAGATTTGTTGAACGTTCTGGGCGGCGAATCTGCGGTTGGATCTGGAGAGGCAGACAGCGAACGTACGTCGGGGTCCACATCCATTTCCTCTGTAGAAGAACTGTGTGCAGGCATTGGAAGAATCTCTTCCTTCTTGATGCTGTCGATTTTCTTCGCTTCTAACTCATCTTCGAGTTCTTTATCAATACTCTCGTCTCCTGGTAATCCTGACAAAATAAACAAACAAATAAATAAATAAAAATAATGTCAACATTATTATTCTAAAGACAGATAATAATAATAATAATCTAAATGACAAAAAACGAAATTATTATTTTCTTTTTATAATAGAAGTTTTAATTTAAGCGAATAAATTAAATTTAATATTCCCAATAAGTAAAATACTTTGATATATTCCAAACTGAATTTAAATTGATTAAAATCCTTTTTCTTTTTATCAGTAAAATCTATAAATCCATTCATATTGACAGACCTGGGAACACAAAATAATACAAAATGTTATTTGAAAAAAATTAACGGATTTAAAGTTAAATTAATCTGGACTAAAACAAAGCATTTTCTTAACCTGGAGGGTTGTTTTTTTTCTGATGTGTTGAGTAATTTATTGATAGTCTATTTGGAAAATTTTAAGCAAGGTGGGCAGAACTGAGAAAAATTACTTGACGAATATAATGTGAACGCCTTTTTGTAATAGATATTTTAATTTTATCTACCTCATAATCTTAAAAATTTAAGAAATCATCTTGAACAATCTAATATTTTATTATTCATTTTATACGAAAATTTGTTGAGAAAATGTTAGAAAATTACCAATAAATTTTAAAATTATTATAGATATCTTTCTTATTTTCGGATAATGACATGTATGGACATCTGTATTTACAAAAATCAACACATTTATACACGCACAAAAAAAAAAAATGAAAATTCTTTTTAAAATACTGATGATCGTCGAATTACAGTAAACGTTTCCATTTAAGATTAGTAAATACAATTTTAATTTAATAATTTATTTTAATAATAATATTACTTGGCCGCTACAGATTAATATAGTTTATTTAAAGATTTAAAAGATTTATCGAATTTTTTTCTTTAGACATTAGACAATATATTTTATTCATTAAAACAATTAAAAGTTTTTCTAATTAAGAAAGAAAACACTTTTATTTCATTTTTTTATTTAAATAAAAATAATTAAATAATAAAATTAAATAATATCACAATATTTAGAAAGTCCGTCCCGTAAACAAATTCGCAAGAGTAAAGAATTTGATCCTCGCCAGGTGTCCTAATCCTGTAATAGGCTAGAATTGCTAAATAACTATACACCCCACTGTGGAGCAAAGGTTAATGAGCTTATCTCGCAGACCGCTCTTACTGTAGTGAGTTCAAAAAATTCTAAAATTCCCAGCAAACTTCTGTCGTGCGCATGTGTAGTTGTGCCAACATAACAAATTTAGTCCGCTAAAGTCCTGAAGGACGAAATGCGCCACAAATAAACTTTGTCAGACAATTCCCCCAATACTGTTCTTTATATATAAAAATATATATCGTTATCTCATATATATATATATATATATATATATATATATATATGCCCTGATGATTGCGTTTTGCAGGAAACAGACTGTAACCTCTGGGTGTTGATTTCAATCTCCATTATATATATATATATATATATATATATATATATATATAGCGCAGATAATACTGGAAGTTCTGAAAGTTGGGGTAACTTGATATCTGAAAGACATGACTAAAATCGAAGTTTGCTGTACGCAGGTTTGGCAACCATCTTAACAAAGAATTGATGAGTGAAAAGAGATAATTTTTTTCTTTTTAGATCATGTTAGTTGCAAATGTAAGAATGTAAAATAAAATCTGTTTATTCTCTTTTTTCTGACATTCAAAAACATCTTAGGACGACTTGCTAGACAAAAAACAAAAACAAAAAAAAAAACGAAAAAAAAACCAAAATGGACGCTGCAGAATAATAGACAAGATAAATGAAGACAACCTAAAGATCACATCAGAAAGAGGTCTTCGTTATGCAGAACTTTATCGAGCAGAAATATCAGGAATTATTTTTAAAGATAGCAGAAAGCCAGATTGATTTCGTAGGTGTGATTGCATGAATAATGCAGTCAAGACTTCTAAAAGTCTGGGCGGTTTTGTAGGTGATAAAAGGCCGCAGTAGTATGTGTAGTTCATGCAGTATTCATGAGGGGAGTAGTTATGTTGGTAAGGTCAGATGGAAGTTTGACCACAGAACTTTATAATACCGCTAAGAGATTCAGAATAAAATTTACAAGTTATGTAGACATTGATTAGCTTCCGGTCAAAAGATAAGAAACGATAAAATTGTAGATACAACTAAATACTTTCACGTATTCAGAAAGGAAAGAGATATTAAACAATGTCAGCGATTATTGTTATTTTTTTCTTTACTGGTCAAATGTGAATTCGTATTAAAACTATTTTCAAATAAATCATGTTGTACACAAGTTTACACTTTCAACGGGTGTTATTTATAAGGAGCAAATCACTTAATATTCCACAAAATGAGATTTCCGAGGCCATTGAATCTGGTCAAAAACCATTAGGTTTTATGATGTTTTCCAATGAATATATCAAATGATAATTATATATATATATATGCGGTCACTTAAAGAATTTCTGCATTATTGCAACAGTTAGTGCCTGAGTGTTTACCGACCTGTGAATGACCAATTTCGGTTCTTATGTAACAGAGGCACACATTCTGGTCGTACAAAAAGTATTGCCCCGAGCTACTTATAAGAAGGCATTTTGTTTTGTAAAAAAGGAAATATATATATATATCTTTATTTTTAAACCATTAAATGTGGCGGAGATTTCCGTCATATGGAACAAAATTTACGGAAATTCCCATCATCATCAGCTGGCTGATTAGTAATTATAAACCTGATCTTCCAGGCAATAAAAAAAATATTATTTACATTATTCGGACCATTGTCCTGATCTTTGTCGCCATATTTATTACAACGTTTCGGCCGTTGTACGCTCCGGCCTTCTACAGGTGGTTGGAATGTCGAACTTAACCCTTTATTTCGCTCACTGGAGTAGACTGTTCTAGTTCCACGTGCCATGTTTTAATCGATGTCAGTTATCTCCTGTTAATTTCCCTCTGAAAGTTCTCCACTGCCTTAACTTGGTATTGAACTCACACTCTTTGGGTCCTGTCACTGGATCTAACCAACGCCTTTATCCACTGTGCCATGTGTCCTTGGAGCGTACAACGGCCAAAACGTTGTAATAAATATGGCGACAAAGATGAGGACAATAGTCCGAATAATGTAAATAATGTACATAATACTTCATCTCAGAAATATAGACAGATAATAAAAAAATAATTGAAAAAAGTAGAACTCTTATGGTGTATCAAAAATATTTACGTTTTTAAATAAGCTTTTTTTTCTGTATCTTTGAAGTTTATGTAATAAATAATAATATGCAACTTCTACGAGAAGGAAACTGAAAGAAACTGGTATGAACACCACCCAGACCCGGTTACGGAGATAGAACCTGTTACAATTCTATGGGACTACACAATACACACTGACAGAACAATCAAAGCCAACCGTCCAGATGTCGTTATTAAAGACCACAAACAAAAAAGTGTCTCCTTATCGATATGGCAGTCCCTGCAAACTGCAATGTATCTTTGAAGATATTCAAAATACTAGGACTTTGAATTAGAAATCTCAAAAATGTGGCACATGGGAACATCAACAATCCCTGTTGTAGTTGGAGCCCTAGGATTGGGTTGAAAAGATTCCAGTAGACTAATTGAAGGGATTCCTGGAAGTCCATGCCTCAAAGAGATACAAAAAATTGTTCTTACAAGTACAGTTCACACTTTACGAAGGGCTTTATCTATGTAAATTTTTTTTTTTTTTTTGTCAGTGGAAAATGTCATGATGAAAATTTCTAACGTTAGGTTTCTGGACGGGATCCGGAAAGAAATGTGTAAACGCCAGAAATCAAAGAAAATAATAATAATAGTATAAAATACACTGACGTTAGAAATGAAGTTCAGGTAGGCCAATATTGTCCCAATTACCATTGGGGCGCTGGTGTCGTCTCTACTATCGAAGTTCAAGTCCTACTTTAAGAAAATTGGTATAACGCCTAGTATTCCATCACTTCAGAAGTCTGTGTTGCTTGGCACTACAGATAGTCTGCAAAATGTGCAATTTGTTTGAGGGCGTACAACTACGAGATGGGGAACAGCCATAATGCAAGATTTCTGATTGAAAAAAACGTGCGAAAGAAGGAAGAGAAGAAAATAATATGGCGTCATATATATACAATGATTCCTCCGTATTCGCGGGGGTTAGAGACCAGAATCGGCCGCGAATAGTTAGAATCCGCGAATACTTGTAACCGCCCCCAAAAGCGCTTAGAAGTACCTATTTTGATTGTTAAAACCCCATATGCCTTAAACTTTCATCCTAAACACATTAGAAACATTTCAGACCCTTTTAAAAACATTTTTGAAAAATAGTATTGGTGACCATAAACGTAAATTTTCTTTCAATAACCGTTTTTAATTACGCATAGATCGATACATTCATTGAAAATACTGTATAAAATATTTCTAATAAGACATAAAATACAAATTTTAAAACATTTTCTAAAAATAGAACTGTGATGATGCCCCCAATCTTAACATAAGCCACTTTTAAGACCCCCCAGCCGCAGCCCCTAACAAAGGACAAAGCCCAAGCACTACGTATATTTTGCGTTTGTTTTTTACAATAAAGATGTACAATTCTACCAATTTTTACCATAAAAATAAAATGTTATTTGTTTTAAGTCATTCAAATAACAGGAAAATAATACAAGAATATTTTAAATATGTTCTATCGAAAAAATAAGCGAATCGAGGGAGTTCTTAGCGAATAATTTGTACATATGTTCTTCAGAAAAACACGCGAATAGTCGGGATTTCCGCGAATAACAAGAAGAAATGTTTTAAAGAAAAATCCGCGAATGTGTGAAGCCGCGAATGCTGAAACGCGAATAGGCGGGGTCTCACTGTAGTTCTTTAGATGTGTATTTGTAAACAAGCT